ATACACCCGCACCCACTCACCCACAATCGCTCTCACCCACACCCTTGTCTGTCCGGGTAATACAGTCTTGATTACAATATTTAGTCAGCTTTCTACTATGATTTTTTTAATATGCCTCAAGCAAATTATTTTGGTTTATTGTATTAAAATGGCGCCTTTTTCGCGGAAAGTCGATTTTGATCAGTGAGTTGTAGATCATTAGTGCTGGAGTGGGGATACGGGTGTGGGTGTGGGTGTGGGTGTGCATGAGTGTGGGTGAGGATGTGGGTGTGTGTGAGATGAATAAGATACACTCGCACCCACACACTGAATTAGTCCACATATTAAAAATTGATCCTTTTGTGATATTTGCTACACAATCTTATAGATACGGATTCCATCCTGGACTAGTTCTAATTAAAATTCTAATCTATATTATATCTTATCAAAATTCCAATCCGTCCTACTCCGCTGTGAACAGGTCATCTTAGAATCTCACACTATCCTAGTTCAAAACAGAATTTCAAACTCGACTAGTTCAATATGAGATCGTTCTATATCGTACTAGTAATAATAAAAATTCTTATTTATTTTGGGGGTGGGGGTGGGTGTTGATATCCTTTCTATATTCATCATTACTCACATCCTGTCTTTAACAATTACTCTTCCAAATCCTGATCTCATGTCATTTACCAAACCTTTTAACAATATATCACAATGTCAAGAACCAGTGGAAACAAATCTACGAAAAATAATTATATTATTTGTTTGGGATGAAAATATTTAGCAATGGTTAGTTGATGCAGCGAGTATACCAATAAATCTTCATGAAATTAAAATATTCTGTAATTCCTGTGATCGATTATTTGTTAATGCATCGATAAGACGATATATGCATCGATTTAGGGAATACTACGTTCGAAATAATCACTGATAACAAACTCAGTTATGATGTGATGCTATTTGGAGTTGATCATTTGAAGAAATTATATACAGATTTTCAACCAAATTCATCTTCATATCAAAAGGATTTGTCATGCATTAGCTAACTATTTTTGGTACGATGCTAATGCTGAATAGGTTATGTGAGACTATAGACAATATTTAGACGTATATAATTAGTTTTTGTTTTGAAGTATCTAGATCTTACATTGATTATGATCGATATTCTCAGGAAAAGAAAAATAATTATTTCCCATAATAAAACTTATTATCTCTATAGAATTTTCATTTTCATAATTATATATCTTGCATTCTTTCTATGTCAGACATGAATTCAATATAAATATTATAACAGAAATGAAAAATAGACAGGTTATTCAAGCACAAAACCCACATCATATATATTAAATAAGAAAATAGTACTTAGTCGTCTATCTATAGAATCTGACATGAATCAGTAATATTTTTTTTAGAATTTGTAAGCAACGAAACGGAAATTGACAGAAATATAGGAAGGAAATAGTGAAGAATCAGAGTCTTTTCATGACATTCTGCTTAGATGATTACATATATCCGTCAAGTGTAACTAATACTAAGGATGTTGTAAAAAAAGAAAATGAAGAAAAATTATATGCGACATTTATTCTGTTATCATTCTTTTGGAAAATGGCAACGAATACAAATGATTCTGAAGATGCATTTGAAAGTTTGGAAGTATCCATACCACGTCCAATTCGATTTTGGCTTTTTCTTCTAATTGATTTTCCATCGATTATCTGCAGTTTTATACTTTTAATTTATTTTTTCAAGAATCAAACAGCTCGACAAACATTAAATAATCATGTGATTATTATTCTAATAATATTCGGTTTAGGAGTTGAATTAATTGATGTACCTTCTCATCTCGCATATATAATCAACTCAGGTATTGTAAAACCTTCAACTCCAGCAACATGTCTGATTTGGTGGTTCGTAACATATGGGTTATATAATGGTGAACAAATTTTTTTAGCTTGGGCAGCAATTGAACGACATATTTTAATATTCAATGCTCAATGGACGCTAACAAAACGTGGTCAATTCTATGCTCATTATTTACCTCTAATTGTTCTTCTTTTGTATGTATTGTTATTTTATATTTATGCTATTTTTTTATTTCCATGTGAAAATACATATGATTATACGTTACCAGTATGTAATGCATCTCCATGTTATCAAGATGATCCAATAATGGGTATGTGGGATTTTATTGTAAATAATCTTCTACCTGGATTGTTGATCGCTTTTGTGAGCATTATTCTCTTAGTTCGTGTTATACGACAAAAACAACGACTCAAACAACAAATTCAATGGCACAAATATCGTAGAATGACAATACAATTGCTATCAATGGCAATATTAGCTATTATTTTTATTTTACCATTGAATCTACTTTCACTTGCTCACTTATGTGGTTTATCTGAAGATATTGGTGCAGAAGAAGAACAATATTTGTTCTATATTGCATATATATTTACGTTTCTTATTCCGATTGTTTGTTTATATTCAACACCAGAACTGTACAAGAAAATCAAGATGAAATTATGGTGGCGCAGACAACACCGTATTGGTGTGAATACCATAAACGATAGAACAAATAACACGATTCGACAATAATCATATGAGGGTGAAATAAAGATAATATTCACCCATATCCATCTGCCCTCAAGGATTTCAGAAGCTTTAGTAGTTATGATTACTTCCTATATATTTTTTATTATATTGTTGGTATGAATAAAAGGAAAGTACAACAAAATATTTTGAATTTTAATGAAATGATTGAAAGCAACAAAAATAAATAGAGAAATACTAATGCTATCTACGAAGATGAGGGTGCAAGTGAAAGTAAATTTGAGAAATAGGATAAAGTTAAATTTTAATCTTTGCTAGACGAAAATTATATTAAAAACTAAACAAAAATCATCCACCGTCGATAAAAGGGTGAGGGTGGGAGTCCGGGTATGGGCCAGGGGTGTCATATTACCTGTTACTATCACTTCCACTTACCAAGGTAACAGTAACTGTTTCTATGATTAAAGAATATTATATTTATCATTGGTAAATAATTATTTGTTCACCAACTATTTATTTTTACATGATAATCTTTATCAGTTACCACTTACTAGTAACAGTAAGGGTAACGTGACACTCCTGATTACATCCTCAAATTCGAGCTGACTCATTTTAAGTTTTTTTTATTTTCATTTAAAAAAACTTCTATTATAATTACGGTTAGGAAAAAGGTACGAAAAAAATACAAGAAAGAAACTTGAAATGAAGGTATTAATAAAAAACTATTGAAAAAAAATTAAAAGAAATAGTTATTGGAATCTGTTTGACTCTAAAAAGTTTATTTTTTGAAATAGTTTTTGTTGTCAGACTAAACCGGCAATAGCTCACGAATGTGTCTCTAACAAGTTCCAACATGAGTAGCAAAACCCGTACCATCAGCACAACGATAAGGACAAAGATAGACTGCATATAAAAGATTACCTGGAGAAGGGCCAACATGAATATAATTATCAGGATCACGAACATTACCATTGGTATTTAAAATACCATCATAAGTATAAATATCACCACCAAAAGTATAAATAGAATAATCATAATTAAGATCACGACCATGACAATAACTAGCAGTACCATTATTAGTACAAGCAATACAAGTATCCGTGCCACAACAAAGAGCAGCACTGCACGGTGATGAAGCTAAAATATACAATTACATAAATTTGATTATTAGATCAACACTAAATTAGTCCCGCATATAAACTCGACATTCAAAGCTTACTTATACTTTCGTACTTTATCATGTATCATATGAAACCAAAGAGCAATAGAGAAACATCAACTGACTCGGTATAGAATAATTCGGCTTTGGAACCAGAAGGATCATTTTTAACAGAGTGGGAGTTAAAAAAGGCTGCGTTATAACTTTTGAGTTATGAATAATCAACCTTTTGGTCCAAAAGTCATTTTAGTTATAACCGTGGCTGAAACTTACAACTAAAACCGTAATCATTTTAACCTTTCATAAATATTTTTAAGTAAATGCATTCTCCCTTTTTCCCCTTTGCTGTTCTTTTGACTATTGATCCATTTTTTTATTAGTGAACTGTCATATATTAGTTTCAACAACAATTGTTTCGCTTTTGAAAATATTGAGTAATTGGACTACCACTCTTCTATTGCATAGTCTTTATTTACAAAGTACTCTTCACTAATGATCATATGCACTTAATCAATTTCGTCAGGGTCAGAAATTATAATCATAGTCAAAAGTTATAGTCATAGTTGAAACCTATAACATCGGTTTTGATCATTTTAAATTTGTCTCAATTTCTCTAACTTTTAACTTTTCATAAATTTATTCTAACTTCTACATTAGATAAAAAGCTCCATCTTTTTCAATCAGTAAATCTCTACCTAAAAAGAAATGATTACTTACTTGTACATGTTTCCCCAGTCCATCCGCCTGTACACTCACAGGTACCATCGGGACCGGTACATGTTCCACCATTTTCACATAAACCTACACATACAAACGCACATAAAACCAACTTGACTGTAGAACAACACGGGCTATAAAAAGAACTTACACTCGGAGCATGTTTCACCAGTCCATTCACCTTTACACTGACATATATTATAAGGACCACATGTTCCGCCGTTCAGACATGGACCTAAACACACAAATGCACGAAAAAAACAACTATGCTGTAGAGCAACACACGCTTTTAAAACAACTTACAGTTATCAATAGGACATTCATACCTACTGGTAATCATACCATAATCGGGATCAATATAACCGTACATCTGAACACCATCAATAGTATCACTATGACAATAATTAGTAGCACCATTATCATCACAAGGAGCGAAAGAATCCTTGCCACAACAAAGAGCAACAGTGCACGGTGGTGGAGCTAAAACATACAATCAGAGAAATTTGATTATTAGATCAAAAGTAAATTAGTCTCACACAGAAACTCGAAACTCAAAGCTTAATTATGCTTTCTCATTCATAAAGAGCACAATAAAAAGTTTTTAAAAACAGAAGAAACTGGCTCGTATAAAAACTTCTGATCTATCCTAAGACCAGGGTGGGTGTGAGCGTACGTGTAAATGTGTGTGATACCCTTATATTTACTCACATCCACACCCATCCTACATGCTTGTTGTAATAAATGAGTTTTTGATCAAAACTATCATTAAATCATTCTCTTAAAAAAATGTAATAATAGATTGAAAAAAACAATCCTTTACAAGCTGTGATGGTTCAGCGACCTCCCACCGATAGTCATTATATAAGCTCTAAATATTAGCTTAATTTGGATAGTTTTCAATTCACATTGTTGAACAAGTTAACATAAGCTCTTACCTGGATCGTCAGTATCTCGCATCGTAGTGCGAAGATCGTCAATATCTAGTTTCTGCAAAACATGTCGTAACAACATTTTGTATTGGTTCTTCTTGTCATAATTGTCGTCATTATATTGTCGACGCAATTCTTTGTACGAACTAGGTTTTGCGACTGACGAATGCTTCGAAACAATTGCAACGAGAGCCAAAGCCACAACTATTATAATGGATGGACGCATTTGTTTGCTGTTGAGTAAGAATATGAAATTAACCGTCGATAGATAGAAAATCGATTGTGATTTATACAGTCAGTTAGCAAAGGCGCTCATTCAGCCAGAACCCAGTGTTGTTTCAAAGGAAGAAATGCATTCGTATATAAAATATACTGTGTATTCAACCATAACCCAGTGTGTTTCAAAGGAAAGGAAATAATTAGTGATCAAAGCACGCTGTGTATTCAACCAGAATATATTATTTCTTTGAAGGGATAGAAGAAAAATATTTGTTGTTTGAAATTATTCAAGTAGAATATCTCTGCTTAGTGCTAGTCTATATATCAAGTATTTTGTTTGTTTTTCAAATGTTTATTTACAACAGTTTATTTTGCGATAAAAGATAATGACTAAATTATTGTTTGAATAATAAACTATTCTTTTTATCTGTGATATTCATTCATTAAGTCAAGCTTTATATGCACATACGCTGTTGAAGATTAATTTATTTATTATCATATTTTGTGACAATATAGTAAAACCTTCGTAATGTGAATACCATCGAGACCGGAGAAAAGTGTTCACTATAGAGAATTATTATATAACATAGCCTGAAATGGAAGAAATCTTAGAATATTTATTTATGCCTTTATAGTAGAGAAACATCCGAGTATCTATTCTATTGTTCATTTATCATTTGTTGAACGATTTTAATAAAATCTTCTAATGTTGTTTGTCTTGTTGCATTCGAATCAATGTACAGGTCTATTATTTTAGATTTTAATAATTATTCAGTCGTTCGTTTCACGATGTTACATACAGAACCAAGTGAAATATGATACTTTTTTGACAAAGCTCTTTGAGATAAACAATTACTATAATCAAACGGACAGCACTCGAATCATATACAGAAAAGCAACCTTTCAGTGCAAACAAAATATATGACGGAAAGTAGAGAGAAGTCAAAAAAACCATTACATGTATATTCATATTGCAGAGGTTAAAATACTAAACATCACCGAAAAAAAGGGTTCACTGTTTAGAATAAAGAGGTGTTCACACTAGAGAGATTTTACTGTATATACGTGTATTATAATAAGGAAAATGTTTGTCTTATATAATATTTCTAAATAAGACTTACATATTATCTGTGCATATTTGAGAAAAATTTTCATTAGATTTGTAGATCGGATAAAGAATTATTATTACATATCAGTTAGAAACAATATTATCTGATTGACACCATGAAATCATACTGTCGACTATTTTGTTATTGGAACATGTCACTCGATTTCTCCATTCATTCTATTTTCTAGTCTTTTTTCCTTTTTTGTAATGATATTATTATTGTAGTTGCTGCTGTTGATCAATCCAACAATACTCAGAACATACTCAATGATTATCTATTATTAGAAAACTAAGTGTGTAGAAATAAGCTATAATTTATTCTAGTAATCGTATAATTCCGTTTATGATGTAGGTAGTTGGTTTTAATTGTAATAGATTATATTTATTTGAAAAAGTTGATTTTTCTTTTACTGTTTTTTAACGAAATGACAGATGGTAGCAAAAGTAAATAAACGTATCTTGGGTGGGTGTGGGTGGGTGTGTTGTGTCTGTGATACCCGCACCTGCACCCACACCCACCCGCATGATACAATTTTACCTGTCGTTAACTGTTGAATCACATTACTTAAATAACAGGAAGACAAAAAAAAAGGCAGCAACAAGTCATTTTTGTAATTGTTCTGTACAAATATTTGTTGATTTCTTTCTTTTTCGATCACAACTAAATAAATAGAAAAAAAGTACATAATTTATATGAGCATATTTACAGATCAATAAAAAAATATTATTCATCTATATATAGTTTATGTACATAGTATCGTAATGATGGTGATTAATATTTAATGTCATTTTCTTTTTTTAGTCATTCAAATAAAAAAGCTAAATTATGACAGACGATAACTCGATGAAATATTTCTACAGATCTTTGTAATTGTTCTGCATAAATATTTGTTGATTTCTTTTTTTCGATCATGACTCGGTAAATAGAGAAAAAGTACATAATTTATAAGAGCATATTTACAGACGAATAAAAAAAGTATTACTCATTTACACATAGTATAAGTACATAGTATCGTAATGATGATGATTAATATTTAAAGTTGGTTTCTTTCTTCTAGTCATTCAAATAAAGAAAGCTAAATTGTGATTGAAAATAACATTGATTATCAATGAAATATTTCTTATTTCTTATTATTATTCGGATTATTTATTGTTTTACACCTAATAAATCTCCATTTGATGCATATGGTCTTAAACTTGCTGCTAATGATGTTCTATTAGTCGAATCTTTGGCTTCTGATTCTTCTTTTTTCGTTCGTCTTGCTCCATATAATTATTCTCTTTCTTGTACAATACCCTATAATAATTCCAATCAATATATATATTCTGTAGCTGTTCATTCCAAAGCAACATATAATGATACAATTCGTTTTGTATTTATTGGTATTAATACAGATACAGATATACCATTTATAGGTTCATTAACATACAGTGGTATAACAGGCCCAACATTTATAGATGCTGTTAATTCATCAGTGAAAGCGAAATTTCCTTGTAATGGTTGGAATATAAATAATTACCATATACATCAATTAGAACAATTTGTAAATGATGATTTTGAAGACACGAATAACAATGATTTTTTCATTGTTACTATTTCGTAAGTATATTTGTTTTATTTTATTCTAAAATATCTTCTATGTCTATAGATCAACAGGAGAATTTGCATATGGATTTACTAATACTTTTTTAATAATTTATGATCTTAATGGAGATAATATTTCAAGTCAATATGGTAATGTAACATGGCCTGATCCATCTTTTCTTCCACGTGCTGTTGATGTCAATGAAGATTTATT